GTGCAAAAGAGATATAATGCTGATGGCTACTTGTTTTTAGCTTTTCCGACCTTCCTTTTTTCCATTTTGGCAAACTAATCATTTTTAGGCAGAGTTGTATTAATTATGGTAGATCTACTTTTCCATTTCAGGAAAAAATGTCCTCTGAAACAGTTTCCTGGTTAGACATTCTAACTTTATTCCTTGTCTTAACATTGTTATTTTGAAATGGCATGCAATTCATATTTATCCTTGTGATACCCAGATTCTCATTTTTTACTCTTACCTCTTTCCCAATTGTAAAACCCATGTTATTCAGCAGTTCTGTTTGATTTTCTATTTTAACATTTTCGCTATCATCTTCATCTTCTGTTTATTAGTTACATTCTTTAATTTGCCCATTAATATTTCAAATCCCTTTAAAGGATCTCCCTGAGCAACAGCAAGTCATCTGCAAAAGTCCTTAACTTTATAAGTTTCCTTTTAAATCTTGACTCCTACGATCCTCTCATCATGGTTAGACATTTTAGAAACTGTAGTAACATATCAAGAAGATATTGAGGAAGGCTGTTCCCATGGGCTTATTGTGGTCTGATTCCCAAACTCTTGTACTGGATGATAGGATTAATCCATCCTTTTGGCAGAAAGTGCAGCTCAGCCAGTTGGATTTAGGGTCATGAAAAAGAGGACTCTGATAGTAAATGATTTAATTAACCGTTGTCTTACTTTCTGGAAGAAGGAAAAGAGATAGAGGTGTGATTTTTTCCCCCATATACCAATGCAACTTGGCCAAACCCTGAGCTGTAGGCACTTTAATGAATGGGTTGAGGGATTTAGTGTTTTATCTGAGGCAGCAATGTTTTTTTTTTGGGGGGGGGGGGGGGAGTGTTCATGAAATATGCCATACATTTTGTTACGGAAAACTTCATCATATGATTCTGTATGAAATAGATGTGGACATATAGTTTTATAAGTTCTTTGAATGTTCAGTGTTGCTATTTTACCCTGTTTAAGTTCATTCTAGCTAATTGGAGGCAGGGGGGAATAAGGGGAAAAATAGGCCCATCAAAATATAATTGGTGCTAACCTATAATTTGTTCACTCTCCCCTCCCCTCCTCATGTAGCTACTGTGACAGTTCATCTTTCTCCTCTTCCACTCTGCTTTAACTCCCAAATGGTGTCAATTATCCACAACTCTCACAGGGCCTGAACCATCTGAATAACAATTCATTAACCTTCACTTTCCTCCACTGATTAGCAACCCCCTCCCCATTCCTAATGCTGGAGACATGTCAGAAACTCAACTAAACTTTTTAATTATGCAAATAATACAATACCCGGAGATAATTATTTTGCCGGAGACCCACAGCACCACACCTCCTGTTCTCATAGGTTTTTACATTCAGGCCTTTTTTCCTTTGTATTATCTGAGTACTGTCAAGAAGAATGAAGGATTTTGCACTTAAGTTTCACATAGTGATCCCCGAAGAGGCCAATCATATAGATGGGCCATTGGTTTGAGGATGGATATCAGATTTGTTTGTGACTAATCTATGAAGCATTGATGAGACAGTTCCACTGAAGTGCCACTTTCAACATCAAGAACCCTGCCTGAGAAATAGGCTGAAGGAATTTGGTTTCAATGAAAGGACAGAAGAAAGAAACTTCAGGCTTTAAACCTTTTGATAATAGATACATGTCTGATAGATAGGTAAATAGACAGATAGATAGATTCATTCTACTGGAGTGGATCTTTATCGTGTGTGTGTGTGTGTGTTTGTGTGTGTGTGCCTTCAAGTCATTCTTGACTCTTGGTGACTGCCTACACAACTCCTTGAAGATTTCTTTGCAAGATTTCAGAAACTGTGTCCCATTGCCTTCTTGGGCTGAAACGAGTGAGTGGCTCAAGGTCACCCAGCTTAGTCCCTAAGGAAGGACTAGAAGTCCTGGCGTCTTGGCTTCTAGCCTGGTGCCTTAACCCTTTCCCAATCCAGCTCACTTTTATTATTACTTACTTGGACTACTTAACACTTGCAACAAAAGTAGCTTATTTACTGAATCAGAATGGCATATGAAGTGTTTTACCTTAAGCTCTTATGGCAGAAAGTTATAGATGTTACATATCATATAGATGTTACATGTCATATTCCCATGTATGGAGTTTTATATGACTCCAACCTCATTTCTTTGAAAGGTGGCGGAATTTCTCTTTTCAGATACAGTATACATCTTACATTGACCATCAAGAGGCATTACATCAGAGGTGATATTCAGCAGGTTCTGACCAGTTCTGGAGAACCGGTACTGGAAATTTTGAGTAGTTCAGAGAACTGGCAAATACCACTTCTGACTGGAGTTTTTCCAGTATCCTTCCCCTGCCACATCCACCAAGTTACGCCCACAGAACCGGTAGTAAAAGTTTTTGAATCCCACCATTACATCACATGACTAGTTTTACCCTTTATGAAACTCATATTGGCAGCCATATGTTTTTCTAATGGAATTCAGACCTTCTACCAAGAATTGATGTGATGACCTTTAACTTTAGGAGACTGTGTACAGTGGATTAGTTTAGGGAGATACCTAATCCTGGTCTCCATGAAAACAATTGAGTATGGCTTGAATTCCTATTGAAAATTCTTGCATTGGCCAGGATATAACCCTTGACACTGTCACACTTGAGACACATTCTTACTGAAGAAAGATTGAATTTATCTAGGGCCACAGAAATTACTGAACATATTTATGAGAAAATATATCTCAAATCAATATAAATATTGTATGTAAAAATGGGTACCTGCCAGCTGTTATTTCTTTTTAAAAATTCTTATTTTTATTAAGAATTTTAATAATAAAAATAATACAAAATAAAATTAGAAGGAAGAAAAATAGAAAATAGGGAAATATAAATAAAAGAGAGAAAATAAAAAACAATAAAGAAATGAAAAGAGAGAGAAAAAAAGCCAAAAAGAAAACAATTTTTAAAAAGTGATTTCCAACTTCTTTACAACAATATTGTTTTTTCTCTTTGAAATTACTTTATAAACTTTTAAAGTATTTTATCACTGGCATTTACTTGTGTCCCATCTTTATTATTTTTACAAATAACTCAAGGTGATGAACATATCCAATACATTTCTCCTCCTATTTTCCTCACAACAGCAAACCTGTGAGATGGTTGATCCAAAATCACCCATCCTCAATCAAACAAGACAATTTTGTATTCTTTTTTCTTAAACAATATTCTGACATTCTTAAACCTTAATTTTAAGGACTTTAAGATGGTGTTGTAGGATCTAATCTCCATATTCTCCTCCTCCCATTCCCTCCCTTCCGCTCCCATCCCCTCAACAAACTTCTCCTTACTGTTTTCATCAAGTTGTTTGGAAAATACTCTTCATCTTGAACAATATTTTTTCTCCTGTGAATCCAATAGTAATCCATTAGCTATATCATTTTAAAAAATCTCTTGACTTCATATTTGTGTTTTCTCTCTGTTTATTATCTCAGTTTTAGTTTCAATTTTTTTTGTCTTATTTTCCAAAATTTCCACCTTGAATATAATTTGGTTCTCCAGTAAATTGTCCTGCAATTTTTTCAGAATTATTTTTCATCCTTCCTTTTATTTCTTCATTATCTCTTTTGACAGATACATTCATATTAGTGGTTATGGATGCTGTTGTTGGAATGTAATATTCTTTCATAACTCCTCAAAAAACTTTTGAAATGTCTTGAGTATGATACCTTTCTCTGTCATTTTTGTAAGTTTCACTACTTTTCTAGTAACAGCCATTTCATCAAATATAGAAATAAAAGTAAAAGAGAATCTCTCTCTCTCTCTCTCTCTCTCTCACACACACACACAGAATGATTTTTGAAATAATTAAATAATTGTATAAAAACAATATTTCAAATTAGTCTATTTTAACTTTCTTAGGATAAATTCTTGTCAACTTTTTGCTGTTGGTTTTAAATTTGTTAAATTATTATTTTACTTTTTTCTTTAATCCAGAATGAAGGATAACTCACTGGATTGTTCCCCCCGCTGCTGTTCTGAAGATCTCTTTTAGCTGTAAAATAGTTGTAGTCCAACTGTTCTTAAGAAAGTTATGTTTTTAGTGAACTCAGTGTTATTATAGGCTCTGCTACAGCTGTAAGCATATTGACTCTCAGGATTCAACCAAAGTCCTACAGCCTCCTTGAGACAAACAGCTGTCTGAAGCACATGGCAATTTCTTAGCCTCTCTTGTTCAGAGAGAGCATGGATTTCATGCCAAACCAATCTTATTCCTTTCTTTGATAAGGGACTACATTAATAGACCAGTGAAATGCTGTGGACATAATATACTTAGACTTCAGCAAGACATTCAACAAAGTAGACCACAACCTACTTGTTGGTTAACTAGAGTAGGATACACAGCAACAACATCATATGGATTTGTAACTGGCTGACAAATCATACTCAACAAGTAGTCCTTAATGGTACTACATCTACACAGAGAGAAGTAAGCAGTGGGACACCACAAGGTTCTATCTTAGGCCCAGTACTCTTCAATACCTTCAGGGGTGGTATTTAGCTAGTTCTGACTGGTCCTACTGGACCAGTAGGGAAAATTTTGACTGGCCTTGTCCACCCGCTCCTGCTCTTACCTCTCCTCTCTCCTATATTCTGCTGTTTATTAGATCAGCTGATTTGTGCAGCAGAGTGGATTGCTGCGCCTCAGCTGAGCTAAAAAACAGCACAGCTCACCAGGGAAAGGCTGTCTCTGAGCCCTGCATGTGTGTGATTCATGCGTTTGGCATGCATGCGTGATGGGCGCACTTGTACAGCCACCAGCCTTGATTCAGAGGGAGGAGTTTGAGCACTGCGCATGCTCCAATGCAACTCCGAACCGGTACAATTTTTTTTTGAAACACACCACTGAATACCTTCATAAATGACTTAGATGAGGGAATAGAAGGGGAATTCATCAAATTTGCAGATGACACTAAGTTGACAGAAATAGCCAATACCTCAGAAGACAAGCTGAGGATCCAAACAGATATTGACTGACTTAAACAATGAGCCCTATCCAACAGCATGAAAATTAATGTGTAGGAAACCAAAGGTACAAATGCAGATTAGGTGGAACCTGGCTCAAAAACAGTAAGTGTGAGAGGCACCTTGGTGTCCTAGTGGAGGATCACTTAAACATGAGCCAGCAGTGTGCAACAGCAGCCAAAAAAGCTAATACAATCCTTGGTTGTATAAACAGGGGCATAGAATCAAAATCATGTGCAATATTAGTACTACTTTATAAATCCTTAGTAAGACCACAACTGAATCTTACTGCATCCAGTTTTAGCCACCACATTACAAAAAAAGATGCCGAAAAAGTGCAAAGAAGAACAACTAAAAGTGCAAAGAAGAACAACTAAGACGATTGCAGGAACTGAGTATGGCCAGTCTAGAGAAAAGAAGGACTGGGGATGACATGATAGCAGTATTCCAGTATTTGAGGAGTTCCAACAAAAAAGAGGGCAAGACAAGAAACAATGGATGGAAACTAATCAAGGGAGAAGCTACTTGGAAATTAAGGAGAAACTTCCTAATGGTGAGAGAACAATTAACCAGTTTGCTTTCAGAAGTTTTAAGAAAACACTGGACAGCCACCTATCTCGTCTATTCTGATTGATTGAATCATTTTCTCAGTCTTATTGCCAGATTATTTGTCTCTGCCATAGCATCATCCCTGCTTTTTTGGAGATGTCTTTTATTGCATTTATTACTTTCTTAAACGTTGAGAAAATTTTTGGTGTCGTGCATTGGGGATTGTGAAAAGTTTGATTAGTTATAGCTGGCTTTTTAATTATACCTAATTAGAGAATCTCAGCCTCATTTTTCAGTCTGATTTTAGAATTCTTGGCTTCGGCTATTACAAACTTTGGTTATATCATATATATATCATTTGACAATGTCTGGTATAAGGTATGACATTTCTACATTTGGATGATATTTTATATATGATTGATTATCCAGTAATTTTTATTCCTAATATTATTTTTAATACACAGTTTTGTCTGTAATTTTCCAAAGTTTGATAAATCAGATTGAATTTTATTGCTTTTAAATAGTAACATTAACTTGTTTGTTAAATTTATATTCCATCTTTGGTTCAGGGACCCAATCAACATTCACAAATCTCTTTCCTCCATTTTTATATTCTTCAGATGAATATCTTATATTCATGGTCACCTTTCTTTTAGGAAAATTCCCCAATTATGCAAAACATATTCAGGAATGATCAGGTTTTAGACATTCTTTTGAATCTTTAATTTATGAAAACTTTATGTAGTTTAAACCTGAAGTTTAAACATGATATAAATCATTTTATGTGATGAATTGCACCTCCCATAATATTGTCAACACTGATCAGTTAATTACTAATATAGATATTTTATACCTTTTCTCTGCTTTTAAAATTGAGTTGGATTAATTTTAAATGTTTCTTGGCAATCTATTCAAATTAAATATTTAGAATTTAAGCTTTTTATTCCTAATGTTATTGAGTTTTCTGAAATGTCATTCTTACTATAAGTGTTTATTCAAGGAATATGTTAAAACTATAACTTGTTTTTATCATAAATAAACAGTCATAGATGAAATTTATATTATCTATTTATTGAATTTAGGAATAGTGAACCTGTAAGTCATGGTTTTAGAAATTAGTGGCATATTGCTTTGATGAAAAATCTTTTCTTTAATCTTTAAATGAGGCTAACCCAATAGAATTTTGTTTCATCTGTGTGACTTCAGAATATATTTATTCAAATGGGGACTTCCGGTTTGCAAGGTTTCGGCGGCGGCAGGGATTCGCGATAATGCGCGATCCCTGCTGCGTTCGCCGCCAAGGTTCCCCCGATCCGTTTGGATCTGGGGGATATAGCTGCCCCATAGAGGCAGCTGAAGACAAGGGGGATCTGGACAGGGGCTTGGGGGTGTCGCAGACCCCCTCCCCAGCCGGCAAAACCCCCTTCTCCCAAGGCGGAGGAACGGCGGTCAGCAATGGCCGCCACGAAGAAATCTGCAGCCGGACAAGCAGGTGCAGGAGGGAGAAAGCTGGAAGAAATATGAAAGCTGCTTCCAACCGGGACAAGGCAAGAGAAAGTGACCTGGAATCTTGAAGGCTGCTAAGTATACATTGTTTCTAGTGAGAGTTACAAGCTGTGAATTCCTAAAAGGGAAAGTTTTTTTTTCCGTTTCACTCTCCTTCCTAACGTGACAGCGGATGGGAAAAAATTTTTTTGGCTGTGAGTGGGAAGGGAGAGGAAAAAAAAATTGGAGCAAAATTTGAAAATAAGGAGAAGATTGCCTAGAACTTTAAAGAGTTACTAAACATCAATAAGGCTTCTAAAAGATATATTTTAAAGGGAACTTTGTGATTAAACTTTAACCCCAGAAAGAGAAAGTGAAGAAGGAGAAGGTATTTAAAAGAAATAGCTTGTTTGGATTGTTTGGTGATTTTGGAACTTTTGAGAATTATTTCTGATTAAAAGCACTTGGGTGGTTGTTTGGAAAAACTTTTTCTCTACACAATGGTTACTTGTGGATGGACTGAAACTTGTATATCAAAAATATGAAAAAGAAAAGCAAGAAGGGAAAGATGTCCTTGGCACTCTTTTTCAATTTTTAGAAATGGTGGTTTATATTTATGTAAAGCTGAATGAGCAACAGGATGGTGGGGACAAAGAAGAAGCCATCTTTGATGAACAAATAACTTTGGTTGGAGAAGGGAAAAAGAAAGAGAAAAAGGAAAAGAAGACTTTAAGATCTGGAAAAACAACCCAAAAAGAGAAGAATAAGGTGAAAAGGGGACATTATGTTAGGAAACAACAGAAAGGGGAAAAGCAGAATAAAAGGGAGGTGGAGAGACAAGGGGGTAAAGAGGGCAAGGAGAAGAAGAAGCAAGGGAGAAAGAAAGGGATGAGAAGCCTTAATGGTGGGGAGCAAGATGTGAAGAAGCAAAAGTTTTTTAGAGATAATGGATAAATTTTACTGAAAAAGGGATTCTAGAAAGGTACATAAGATTGCATTTTTATATTTGTATTTAGAAATAGCCATAGAAAATTGGAAATAATATGTAATTTAAAATGTGATAAAATATTTAGTATAACCTAGTGAAATTTTTGTTAAGAAAAAGGGAGTACTGTAATGAAATATGATTTAAGATATGTGATGTGGGGGGGGGGGGGGAATAATTTTGGAAAGCATAAGTGTTCCCACAAAGGCATGATATTTAATTGAAATGAGTAAAATGTTTAAGATATAAATGATTGTTAATATTAATGATTAGACTATGTTATCCTAGTGAAACTTTTTGTGAAATGAGAGATTTGAAGTAGAAGAAGGAGGAACATTGTAATGAAATAATGAGCTATAATATGTGATGTGGGGAGGGGGGGAATAACTATGGAAAATAGGTGCTCCCATAAAAGTATGTGATTTAACTGAAAAGTAATGTGTTAAATGTTTAAGATATAAATGAATATCAATATTAATGAATAGATTTGTATTGGTTTTGATAATATAGTATAATTTTAGAATGTACCAGACAGAATCCCAATGAAAGTTGTGTGTTTTATATTAAGTATTATAAAGATAGGGGAAAGAGATAAAGGCATCATACTCCATTTAGTATATAGGAGAAGTTCTTTTTCAAAGAAGAAAGATAAATGGATAGCTGGAAATAGAACAGACAAAGAATAATAAATATTATGATTTGAATTGAGAGGAGATAAATAAAATAAAATTGAGAAAATTTAAAAGAGAAGAGAAACTATATAGAAAATTGAAAATGTTAATAAGATATGAAATGGTATGTAAAATGAATATGAATTTGAATTTGTGTCTGTACCAAGAGTTTTAACCCGGGACCAAACAACTTTCAGAAAAGAGATCTTTTATGTTTTTATGTTTTGTGTTTTTGTGTATTTATGTTTTGTATGTCTTTAAAAATTAATAAAATTTGTTCAAAAAAAAAAAAAAAAAAAGAATATATTTATTCAAATGGACTACAATGTGCTCTATGATCTGATAATTTCATTGTGTATCTGAACAGATTGCTTTCCATGACCTCATATCATCATCTACATTTCTTAGACCAATGTGGGGTAAATCTCCTGAATACAACTTTGGTAGCTAGTGTGATGACCCATAGTTTCTCAAAATAACCCCAAACCCAAAACATACATTAAAGTCCAGTAATGCCTTCAACTTAAACTTCACTGTTTTATTAGGCACAGTGTAAAGTCACAAAAGTAAATAATGAGGCAAAAAAGAAACCAAAACAAACCGCATTGACGGGAGTTCCAAAGCTAGCCAAGATAATTGATCATACATTCCAGGAAGATATGGGGAGAGTCCATGGGAAGAACGCCAACAAAGATAAACCTCTTTCAAAGGAAACAATAAACTAAACTTTGACTCCAGCAATTCTGACTGCGTAGTTACAAACACAGCTCCCAGCTGCAAGCCACGAGGAGGATCATGCTAATCTTCTCCTGAGTAGACCTCGCTTTTCCCTGATCCTCTCCTCCCTGTGTGACCTAGGATGGATAGGGGATGGGCCTGGATCCTCCTCTGATTGCTCAGCCGGCCTCTGCCCTTCCCCAGCCTCCTCCACCACCTCTGGAGCCACACTCCCACTCCCTGTTGGCTGTTCCTCCTCTTCCTCAGAGTCAGTCTCCACCAGGAGCATGACAGCTAGCTTGCAAAGTTTACTAGGAAAAGATACCTCACAGGGGCTTGCCAGTATAGCACCACAGTAAACCAAATACCTATTTCACTCCTTTTGTTTCACTAAACAATCAACGTTCTATTCTATTCTATTCTATTCTATTCTATTCTATTCTATTCTATTCTATTCTATTCTATTCTATTCTATTCTATTTTATTCCATTCCATTCCATTCCATTCCATTCCATTCCATTCCATTCCATTCTATTCTATTCTATTCTATTCTACAGATAGTAAAGTTAGTGACTAGCAACTTTGAAGTGAGAGACTGAACTATTGATTGCTCAATCCAAGATGGTCAGGGATTAGCTCGATTTCCCTGCTAAACATGTGTGGAATTCATGATGGTGGGGCAAAAAAAGAAGAAGAAAAAATAGGGAAATTTCCTATGGATGAACATCCATCGGAAATGATTCCTAAATGGAATGAGTAGTGATGCAGCAATATTTAATGTTCTTATTAGTGATATAATTTGGTAAATGCTAACACACAGCACAATTCAGGATAGTGTTAGGAATGTTGACATGACTTTGACATGACATTGTTTCAGGATGTAGTATAATAAATATGAAATGTATAAATATAACTTAGGAAAACAGAAAAAATAGAATTTATATAATTATTATATCTATGCCTTATTTTCAGCAATAATTAATTATTAAGTTATTAATAATATATAACAACCTTAGAAATGTCTGTTTTTAAGAGAAGTAAACATGAGATTTTTCTAGTGATTTGCTTTAAGACTGAGTATATATTTTCAAGAAGATTTATCTGTCTCTCTCTTTCTGTTTTTTGTTTACATATTGGATATTATGCTTGAGGACAAGACTTTGTTAATTTAGGCCATATCATCATATAATAGTTTTAATGATTGTTTGTATTTTTATCTTCCTCAGTTCAATATAGAGAAATAAAAAA